ATCTCCCTTAGCCCTCAAAATAATCACTGTTCGAATCTATGCACTGCTGCCATCTGGAAGGAAGCGATTCCCCTTCTGTAGGCCTTGTTGTCGTAGCCATAGTCTTACAGAATTTGAAAGATCTTCACCACTGATGTAGCGTATTCCACGAAGTTGGTCCTTCAACTGGCCAAACTGATGATAGACAAAGTGGGCTATGTATGGGCTATATGTAGGGTGGCTGGCAACTGTCCACTGAAATTTGGCGATAACTTGCATTGTTTTGAACGTCAGCTACAGCTAGATACAGGCTTCTACAGAATGGATGTACAATCTTTGCGTCCCAGATGGCAGAAGTGAATAGATTCGAACAGTGATTGTTTTGAGGGCTAAAGAAGGTGTGATGTTTCTGTGTACCGATTTGAAACAATGGTTTCAAATGAAACCGATGAAAACAATGGTTTAGTTTTTATTAGATGCTTGCGGAAACTTTTCAGACCCTCTCGTATGATGCATTCCATTTAAACGCAAAAATAAGAGATAGTGGGAAAGATGAAATAGATGAAATGAGGCTTAAGAAGATAATATCAATAGCTTGGTTTATGGAGCCACCTTGTTATTACTAGGCAGAGATTCGCACCACCCGGCATGTCAGTGCCAGCTCATGGTTCTGTAGCAAATTTCCTGCTGTTGCTCTTGGCATAAAAATTGAACAATGCAGTTTTTTGTGTCGCACGCACAATCTCATTCTTATGAAGTTACAGTAAAACCTCGATTATCCGGGCTAATGACCGGGAGACCTTCGCCGGATAATCGAAAACCACGGATAATCCAGAATTCGAAAAAAAAACGATGTAATGCTATGGTATATTAACAAAAATGCGATTTATTCATAAAATACTAATCCTACCTTTGCTGGTATTGCTTTAATAGTCAGTTTTGTTGAAAAAATGATTTACGGCCCACCACTTAGCAAGAAGAGAGGGTTAAAAGCAGGTTTTTCGGCTGAAATCCCAATGAAATGTAAATTTCTTGTCTTCTGAGTTTCTGGTAGTCTCTTGCTTTTCCTCCCACATGATTGCATACAGTACACGTACCGCGTCTCGAAAGAGGACCGTATCGAAAAAAAAACGTCGACGACAAAGACGCACGGATAATCCGATCACCGGTTAATCGAGGCCCGGATAAGCGAGGTTCTACTGTATATCAATAGCTTTTCCTCAGATGGTTGGCAGTACCAAGCTCAGTGTCATCAGCGTTGATTGGAGCAGGGCTGAATGGTTAAGCATCAATGTATCAATAAAGCCCAACCGGAAATTCAACAGAACTGTGCAAAAGTTTTAAATAGTTTTGGAATATTTCCTGATGTTGCGATGAGGATTCCATTGTACTTCGAGTGCACTAAGTGGTTTTACACAATATCGAGATACTAGGCAGTTTATGAGACATGAGAACTTTTACCGCAGTCTTAGAGGTCTGAATCATGCAATGCATGCAAAATTATATATTTAAATGACAGAATTAATCCCCAAGTCAATCCTCCCGGCTTCCCCCTCACCCTTCCTTTTCTGGCGCTCTCACTGAGGGATGCATCGGAGTATACCAAGCTGAAGGCAGCGAAATGGTAGGGGTCGTCCTGAAGTTCCGATTGGAGTTTACTTTGGGCTGTTGGGAAGTAATTTAGTCTGGAAGTAATTTAGTCAAGTGTTGGAAGTTCTGCAACATTCATTTCTTGTTTTAATGTCATTTAACGCGAGAGCAAAATGACTCTCTCTCTTGCAATTGATTTTCAGATTGCCCTTCCGAGATAAAGGATGAAAATCAAATTTCTGTTGGCTGCGAACGAAAAAATCAATCACGGCCTAATATCTCCTACCAACGTGAATGGAATACCAGTCAGCATGACAAAGTTAACTCAACATTGATGAAATGTTTACATTTTTGAGAGGATGTTGATGCTGAATGCACAGCCGACATTAGCGCAATTTTGAAAATATCAACATTGCAAGGACATTGTCCAATCAACATTACATCAACCTGAATCGGGCGAATCTGGCTAGACATTCGAACAAGAAACTTTTCCTGGTCACGATGTTAGATGGCGCCAAATCGCTAGCACAGAGAATTACCTCATATATGCAACTGGCACGCGTCCCCAGTACTTTTGGAACGGTATTTGATATTTTGCCCAAAGACGGTACCGGGAAAGATATTTGAATTCCTGGATATATTCGACGAAAGAGGCGACGCAACCCAGTGAGATCCTCGGTAATTTTTGCACGGGGAACGGACAGAACAAAGTTCAAGTCACTTCCCCAATTTAGTTCGGCTGACGCACAGAAATGACTTAAAAGAAGGAAATCGTTGAAATTCTGCATGTAAATAGCTTACATGTCCAAAAATAGATCATGAAATTTAATTTGGAAAAACCTCTTAATAGTCATTATATGGCGAAGTGAAATTATTAATGGTGTGAACCTTGTAACAGCAGGAGAAAGCCAGCGCTTAAAAAAAAATAAAACCAATCATAGAGGTGAAGCCAAAGACCAACTAGAAGATGCAAACTCCCTGTATTCCGTGGATACTATAATATCTGGCATACTCCCAGAGCATACCGTATATGTAAAAAATTCATTTCGATGCCGTAGCGGTATGTTCTGGATGCTAGAGAAAAAAGTATTTAGTTTGAGGCTTTTAAAATATTTTTCTCATATTTTTCCATCTGTCGACAATAGCCTGCTTCTTATAGTTGTATATTTATTAATATATGATTATGTATGCAATGTCATCACGTTGCATTGTCTAAAGGAAACGTTTATGCTAAAGGCTGTCTCCCAAATGAGGGCTGGAGAGGGAAGAGACCCTATAGAAGACAGTTGATAGGAATATCTATTCTTTTCTAATCCTTATACACTCGAACATACACCATTAATTTCTGGTCTTACTGCCTCACCTGAGGGCTAAAGGCACAAAAAAATCAAGAATACTATGAGAAAAATATGGCATAAAAGAAAGCCTTCATGGCGTCAAAGGATTTTAAATCTAAACAGTGTTGAGACTGCATCCGCCTCCCGCAGGAATATGTACATTTATGAGTTCAATGGAAAGGTCTGTCACGTTTTCTCAAATAACCTAGAGACTTGAAACTTGAAAAACAGGGAAACAAATGTATTAGTCTTTCCAACGCAATACATTAACATCAGGAACATACAATTTCCAGAAATGTTTCATAGCGCATAAAACTGGACTTGAATTTTACGCCACCCTACAAAAAATAATTCTCTACGAAGGCCTCTGCGATCTGCTGCGCGACTACTCCCCTCTACTGCCTTTATTGGGGTAGTTTGTGCTCTAACCATCACGGGGAGATAAAAGGAGAATCCCAATGGTGACGGCAAAGTTGAGGAGAGCGAAGAGTTGGAGAAAAAAACGATCCAGGATGCAAGAAACGATTCTCCAGTTCTCCATGTCCACCTGACGATAACATCGGCAGATCGACATTTCCCTCTCCCGTTCCGGTTTCTCTTGGCTTTCCGTAGGTGATGGAACCTCCCTCAGAGTCAAATCACATTCTGCAAGAACGAAATGGGCAATCATGGTGCTTGTGTGTATATGGAATCGAATCGCGCATGCCGAATTCATAATTGAATACAATAACCAAATGAAGGAATGACAGACGTAGTACCAGTTAGTAGACTGAAGTATTCCGTCAATTTGGCATGTAACAACTAGGTCCTTCATTTACAAGTCATTATACACTTTTTGATACCTATAGAAACATCGATAAACTATGGAAGTATTTTACTCTCACTTGGAATCATTCATTCGACCCTGCAAAGATGAATGTTTGAAAAGGACTCCTGAAAGTGTCTCTAACAGACGAATATCTTGTGTGCATTTGGAGCAATGCGCTTGATTATGATCCAAACCGCGTAGTAATGTACCTAGGTATACCTTCAAATGTACATTAGTTACTGGTTTCTGAGTCTTCGTACGTCGAAAGAGTGCAAACCGAGTCCTGTCTTATCCGTGACAGAGGAAGCCCTGAAACGATTTTTCCCTTAAAGAACATTTCCCAGATAAGATTCTTGCACAATCTGAAATTTCCCCTATTAGTTATTTTTCGGGAAGGAATTATCCCCGCCGGACACTTTCCGCTAGGGGGATTCACCCGAAAATGAAGCAATCAGGGCTCCATGTCAACCATCAGTCTTCATCATACTTCAGAATTAGTACTTAACAAGAAGAGGATATCTAGACCTTCATCTGCGATATTTCAAACACCCACTCTCTGAATGCGTCACATCCATCGACCAATTTCAATAACGCCCGTCATGCGACACTCCTCGAACGAAGTTGCTACGATCTATATGCCCTTCTGCATATCACTAGTCCAAAGTCATTATCTGGAGTTCAGGTTGCAATTTTTATGTTGCATGCGGGGCGGGGGAGCTACAGCAAGACGCTAAGCAATCTTTATTTCATTCAGGCTCTACTCCCTTAGAAAAATACTGATGAACTTGAAGAGATTGAGCCAGAAAACCTTCCCGAAAGCACGATGACAGGCTTCTACGGCATTCGTCGTAGGGTGAAGATAATTCATCGAACGTTCATGAGTGGTCCAGAAGTTGAATCGGAAACGAGACTCCATTCGACTATTTTTTCTCATTCTTCCAATTTAGAATTCGTCCTTGAACTAACCAAGGAGTTCTCCTCACTCTTGAAGGCACCTCATCGTGGAGGCTTCCAAAAGTATCTGGGACATGGTCGGGAGGCAATAAACTCGATTCAGCGAAGGACCTCAGCTTTTGTCTCCGAGCACGACCATGAACGTGGAGGATCATCACGTGGGAAGGTTTTTATTTATTTACGATTAGCGCAGCTAGATGAAGAATCCATGAAGGTCGATCGCTAAGAAGCGAAGGAAGGCATCACAAATTCCAGCAGGATTTTTTTTTCCCTTTGAGGAACAGACTGCTACAGGAACGTCTTTTGGGAAGTGTCCTTTTGAGGGGAAAACCTTATTGGGCCAGAACCATAAGGAGAAAATTCCGCTCTTGAAATAAATAATTCCGTGAATTTCCTTTCAGGGTAGAGTTGGGTATCTGTGAAACTATTGATGAGCTTCCATAGAAGTATTTCGTCTCTGAAAGTATTGATTGTGCGGATATGTCTAACGTACCAGTTATCGGTTCATTGCTAATGAGTTCGACTGGGCCCTCCCAAGCATGGGGTCCACTCGACTCGTTCTTTCCGCCGAAGAGAGAGGGAACTGGTATCCCATCGGCAAATCCCATCGCTCCTTTCTCATTCTCACACTCTCCCACCATGACCTGCGAATGCATCGTGACAAATGTGCACGCGGGAACCTCCCATTGGATGAGATGGACAGAGAAACACACGGTGCGGAAATTTGGCTCCTTCATGCACGTCAGTTTGGCCAACAACCGACACACGTTCTGGATCCAATGGGATACCCGGATGTCCTTCAGGTGATGAAGGTATAGGGTGAAGATACTCAACGCCACTTCTATTGTTATAAGGCTCAAGCTTGCACAGCAGTATTTCCCTGCAATTATCATCATGGCGTGAACATCTCCTATCTAGAATCGGTATGCTGCTCGTGAACTATTGAATCTTCATCGTTGTTGCTTCAAAATTAGCTTACAGCTTTGAATTTTCAAAAGATCAGAAGTGATTTGAGACCCAAGCTAGGGAAGATCACAACCTAAGAAGAATTTGGTGATTTTCCGCACCAGAACTGCGCAAGTGGAGAAGCACAAATGTCGATAAATTCCATGGCTCTACAAAAAAAAAAAAAAAATTGTTACATGTTTTTCCTCCCTCTGTTCTAGTGCATGCAAAGTGCTGCAGTTTCCGTTTCTAATATATTCTTCAATCGTTACATATGGCGCTGTTACATATGGCCAGACGACGAACTATTTCATTATTTTTGTCATTGGTCTTCGTATAGTCGCAAAAATTGGCTATTGGATCGAGTACACTGTCCAAAAGTGATGGAGATTCCTCGGTTGCATATTGTACCTAGGAGAGAGATGTTTTCGGAGTGCGAAAGGACATCGCGGATGGACATGAGGAAAACGATGGTCGTGAGCATGGCGGAGATTCCCAGCGTCACCTTCTCCCCGCTCTCATTCGGCATCAGGAACACCAGAAGGGCTAGATCCAAACCGACTACGCTCTCTTACTCGCTCTCGAGTGCTTATCCCCATTCGGTACAACAACGTACAAATGATTATTCTCATCCCATATGAAAGACCCTACTGTGGTCCTCTGGAGGGATCCCTTCGTGGGAAGTCAGTAATTTATAGAATACTATCATCAATCGAATATACATAAGGTCTCGTCATCTAATCCATATTAGCGCTCGTTCAGGCTCAAGAAATGGAGGAGGTACTGTAATGCCCAAACGTTGGCAATTCATCGTTGATACAATGTTGCACAGCGGCAACTCCTCAACGCTGAACTGCGTTTCATTTAAACCTTTTTCTCAACATTGAGGCAACATTGTTACGTTGAAAAATCACCCCTTGCTCAATGAAATAAGAATAAAAATAATGTACTTTCCTTTGCGGAATTATGGTGTATCCAGTGCCCTGCCAGTCAAAAATCAATAAATAAATAAATAAGAGCAAGAACTGTTATTGACACAACGTTGCTGTGCCGATTGGGCCGTTATTTACAGACTCACAGAGAGATTGGCGACATACCAAGGAAGTTGATGATGACCATGGGGAAGACATAGCTAACGACGAAGAATGATGCACGTCGCTTGATCCGAATGGCATAGTGCACTGCAGAGAAGGGATTCGGACAACACGGATCCAGTTCCAACCTCTCCTCTGCCTCGTAAGATTCTAATGTGAACTCCGCATTCTGAATATATGTCTCCAGCTCCAACGTTTTGTTGCGGTCCAATTTCATCTGAATCTGAAACGTCCCATTTTTACGAGGGTCACTCAATAAGTTATCTACCTGAATAAGAAAGAAACATCCGAGGGGAAAAATAACACTTTCTTTTTCAATGTAGTCACCTTTTAACTCAACACACTTATTCTACTTTGATTCCAAAGATTTTATTCCCTGGGAATAGAAGTCAACTTCTTGTACATCAAACCAATCAGAAACGGCAACTTTCAGCTCTTCATTGCATGAAAATCTCTTTCCCTGCAAAAATTTTTTCAAGTGTCTGAACAGAAAATAGTCACTAGGAGCCAGATCCAGGCTGTAGGGAGGATGGTTCAGCTCCTGAAAGCCACACTCCCTCACTGCTGCCTGAACATTCCATGATTTGTGGACGGGGGCGTTGTCATGGAGGAGAAGGACCCCCCTCGACAACTTTCCTCTGCGTTTTTCCTTTATGGTATCATGTAAATTTTTCATGGTGGTAGCATAGGAATCGTCAGTGATTGTACACTTGTCTGGCATGAACTCAAGCAGCAGTAGTCCCTTGCTGTCCCAAGACACAATGGCCATAATCTTTCCTGCAGATTTCTGAACACGAAATTTGCGAGGCGTTGGCGATCCCTTGTGCTTCCACTGCATGGACTCCTGCTTGGTTTCAGGATCCCAGTGATGAACCCAAGTTTCATCACCAGTTACTATTCTGGGAAAAAAAGTTTCCCCGATTTGTTTAGAAAACTCCAAGTTTTTCTTGCAGATGCCAGATCTGTTCTTCTTCTGAGCTAGCTTATCCCATTTATTGTTGGTATTTCATATAAATTTCCATGTTGCTTTGTCAATTAGCAAACGCTCTTTTATGTGCAAGAAACCGTTTGCAAAATTAAAGCTTTCATATTCAGGTAGATTGAGTGATATTGAGTGGCCCTCGTACCATCTGGAATTCGTCTGGTGTCTATGGTTATCATAATGGCGTGTGAAGGATGATATCGTGCACAAATTAGCATTTTGAGGAAGTCCAGAAATTGTATATCATTAAAATCGACATGCACATTTCCTTTCCCAAGAAGCACACGCGCGGTGAGTCAACATTGATTCAACGTTTGACGTCAACACAGTTAACGTTGAAACATTGACCTGTCAACATTGATTCTATATTAAAAGTTCATATTTATAAACCTTAAGGGAACGTTGACATCAACAATATATCAGAATTGATTCAATGTTTAACTGCAACATTGCAACGTTGCCTATTTGCGACTCCATATTGGAAATTCATTTTCTTGAACCTTGCAGAAATGGTGAATCCACGATGGTTCAAAGTTGATATGAGACATGTCTGAATGACATATTTAAATCGTCCGCATGCGTGATTTCATTCCTGAAGTAGGATTTGAATATTACGAGGTATCTTTACACCTTTTTTACATCTTTTTTAAGATCTCCCACTTAAGGTCTCCCGCTCCAAGCTCAACATGAACTTAGCAAGGAGGGGCAGTGAGGGAGCTGGAAAGGAAGCGAGCAAGTTACCATGGCTACGTCCTGGGACCAGGACCTGAAACACAGCTTGCAATTTTGGGTGTCGAATGGGAAGTAGGAGACGTCCACGTCGCAAGTAGAGCGGAAGTTTGCATCAGTGAGCAGAATCACCTCGCCCGTCGAGCTCACGATCGCGTTCGTCGTCAGCAACCGTTCTGCGTAGTTCGTCGATGCACTGCAACGAGCAACGAGTTCCGTCATAATTCACTTCCTTAGGAACTACTGCGAGCGAACGGCGCGGGAATTCGGGTGCTTGACCAGTTTTCACTCGGCTATGTGTCTCTCTCACTCTAGTATTCTACACTCTGAACGTGGGGCTTCGAAAGTTTCCCCATTGTTTCGCTACTTTAGCTATCCTTAACAAATTCCGTGCGAAATGCAACCTGAAACGTAGAACGAGTAGAACGCATTTGCCAGAACTCTTTGTGGCTGAATCGTGACTGAGACCATGATACCTATTCAAGAGGATGATGTCCGGCGTCCAGATGGATGAGTAGGGTACCGCGATCTGCTCGATTCCACCGTAATCCGTAGGGTCCCATTTCAAATAGACATCTGTCCATCGTTGAATGACCTCAACGTTGGTACCGAGAGCCTGGTTCCTCTCGTCCTATCCAACGTTATCGCAAGTACTTCATTATCAGCTGCAACAGTAACCGAAAATATAGCATATGCGGTAACAAACCTGACCAAATCGGTGATCCAATAGAGAATGAGCTGAAAGGTGACCACGAGTGAGGTATTGGGTGTCTCGACGGGGATAACCATCGAATAATTTACAAAGAGGTTCTTTCTGAGCTGAATTTCCTTCTTGCTTCCCTCCAGAAGCCTTCCATCCCATAGGATGAAGTAGAGGAAACAGAAACCGTGCCTCATGTCCCCTGGGTGAATCCACTCACCCCAATCTCACTGTGTAGAAGTATCCCCTTTCCGCGACGACGCCTTAGCTCGATTTCTTCGTTCGTTCCTATACGGGTGTAGATAATGATTGTGACCAGCTCTTTCCATTGCTATGATATTATGCCTCACGAACGTTGCTTATTGATTGCGACTGCCTTAGCTGAAAAAATCTACTCGAAGCAATAAAGGGGAAGAGCGGGTTTTCATCTCGTCAACAATGAAGAACACAGCCTCTCATTTATAACATGTCTATTATGAACGCTGGCTGGTGTCGTAATGCATTATTATGGATTTAAAAAAAAGGATGAATATGAGGAAATGGCGGAAGGAAAAGGTAATTACGAGGGACGACTGAAAATTTCTGAGTCTAAGTAGGAAGCGAATTTGCAAGGAATGTTTTGGTTATATGTAATATACCTGTAGGCCTTGTGATAGATTGGACAACGTTTCATCACGATTTCCACAGAATCCTATATTTATAGCCTAATGTGATTGGTCAGGTGTAGCCGTCTGCAATCATGGGAAAATTTTAAGCCCCGGGCCGTGATTCGGTACCTTTTACAAAAAGGGTTAAGTGCAAAAGATACCCACACGGATATGCAGTAGACATTGGGAAGTGATACCGTATCACTTGCAATTGTGAAAAAGTGAATGGCGTATTTTAAACGAAGGGTCATTTTTGAAGACGACGCTCGAAGTGGACGTCCCTTCACTGCCTCGCCGATGGAAAACATCGACGCCGTGAACGAGATCGTCTTAGAAAACCATCGAGCGACGACTCGAACCATCCGACAATGTGTGGTTTTCTGGTCTTCATTGAGGTTCCGTGGCACCCATCGGGCGTACACCTTCCTCATTTGCAACTTTAAAAATATGAATCACATGCTCAACTTGCTCTGAGATGGTACGACCCATATCCCCAGTCCCAGCTGGGGTTACTTTCGCTGGCCACAGGCAAAAGAGAGAATCTGTATGACACAACGGTTGAGTTCGTGCTAATTACAGAATGATTCAAAACGACCCTTTATTTTAATTTTTCGGTAAAGTGTTACATGCTTGAAGGATTTCGTAGTAAAAAATACGGGAAAGGAAAATAAACGGACTGGCCTCAACGGCGAACAACAGAAGGGAGGCGAAGAGGATGGAACGTGTCGCAGCAGTTAAGAATCGATACTGAATATCGTTATGCCTCTTCCCGTCGTTTTATTACAACCCGACTCCAGATCTGTCAACACAGGTGTGCATCCCTGACATTGCATTGAAAGGAAATCGCATGTTGGTGGGAAAACGAGGCGAAAGCCACTATTTGTTTCGATATCGGTAGAATACATAAACTTGGAACTTTTGTATACCCACTAGAAAATAGTTTCGATGACACAAACGTCATGATGTGATTGTGTTATATGCATATGAAAGCGGTTTATTTTTCCACTGGGCTGGTATTAACATTTTTCGCTGAGGTATTTTTCTAAAGCGCTGGAAAGGGAATTCCTATTTTGAGCGGAAACTATGTATTCCATTTTTTTTTTCAAGTAGTTATACAGTTGCAAGAAAACAACAATCACTTCGTGCGAGAAAAGGGCAAAAGGAGTCTGCTTTTTTTATACTAATACTTGGAATCTGCTGTAACCCTAAGAACGGACCCATTTATTAGCCAAAATTGTGATATCCATCTGGACTTGGAATTTGATATATAGGCTTTTTAATTGAATTTTTCGTCATGTACTTTCCTCGAATATACCTTCTTCTCAATCTTACTCTTATGTTTCTTAATGATATGGGAATTTTCCCTTTCTCGCTCCACCATTGATTTTCCTCCTCGGAAATATCCTCTTGGTCCCTGAATAATATCTCCGAAATAAAAAGTGAGTTGCACTCTTACGCAAGGACTCTGCCTCGGGAACTGGCTTGCCCAAGGAAGACATCCGAACAGGGAAATAGACTGGTACTGCTCCGTTATCCGTCGAGACGCTGGATAATTTGCTGGAAACCGCTGGGTAAAACGCTAGGTAAAATGCTTCGATAAATGCTGGATAATGGCGATGATCTGCGCGACTTGCCGTCCACGCAAGCCCTGTAGGCCTGCGTGGATGGCAAATCACGTCCGTTTGCCCGGCAAGCAGATTTCTTGTCCACTTCACTCGAACACGATTATCAGCCATCGAAGAGGTGGCATGGGGTCAGTGACGAGGATTTCTCATTCGGCTCTTCACAGTCCCTGCAGAGTCGTAATACACAATCCGAATTTTCTTCATTAATGCACTAATAGCCAAAAAAGGTTCCTACACGCATTATTGCATCGTTATAATCATTAATGCATGCGTAAACTTCTCTTGACACATGAAAATGAAAAGCGAGAAATCTAGAGCTAGGTACAAGCAAACAGTGAAATTTGTTGAATTCTTCCCTTTGACACGATATAATTTTATCACCGGAACAGCAAAATGAAATAAATAAATCACTCTTAAGATCATTTGCATCGCAAATTGTAAGCCATGTGTCAGAAATAGCCTCATCATGAAAGTTTCGGTTAGATGACATTATACTGTCATCACAAATTCTCCGAACGGTTAAGCGCAATTGGTTAGTGATGTGTGTTGGCCGGCTGCTTATCTCAATCGAGATGGGACTGAGAAATGATTGGGAAAAGTCATTTTGTAATGCAGTCGTATTCTCCCGATGGTAAGACGCAATTTACGTATGGCCTTAAATCCACTGATTTATGCAGTGGGATCGAATGGACCAAAATGCCGTCGGTGTAGCTTACCATTTGGCTGCGTGTGATCCTTCAGGTGCAGTTTTTATGACATTCTTTGGCTTCTAAATGACCCTGCCAAGTTCTCCTGGACGATTGGAAGGCGGTTGTTTGGTCTATTATATAACATTTGAGGATAAGACAAATGGGAACGATCCTTTTTGCGGCGAGTTGTGACGCGAGAGACAGAACTCGCCCAATCATTAAAGTTCTGGAGTGATATATTTATTCTTTAATCCTATATTCATTGAAAGGTTATGTAAACACTTTCATACATCATCACCAGTTACGGAGAAAGAAGGAAGAATTCGCCAAACAGGAGCCCGTTGTAATTTTCAGAAACGTGCAGGGAGTTCCAAAGTGCTTCTCTTAGGGCTACAACAGTTACTGAAGTGTGAGTGGCCTTCACATTCGAACTGAGAAACGGCAGAAACATCTGTCGATGATAAAATTGGGTTTAAATGTAGCCGTATTCTCCCAAAGATCAGAAATAGTTCAAAGCACTTACGCTCACGAAATGTATCGTCTGGTTCATAGCAGGGAACTTTTCCATAATTTTTCATGCGAATTCGGCTATACCATAGAGTCATGCGTATAGCTTACTTACCATCAAAAATTAATGTACAGGTACTATCCATCTTCCAGGGCAATTGTTAGGACGTTCTTGGTCATGACAGGATTCCTAATGGATAGCGTCAGGTGTTCCGTGAAAATAGGCGTACCAATACCAGTACTTACACGATTGTTAGCCACATTATTTATGAGAGCATTAAACAAATGAATAATTATCATTTCTGCCGCAAATTGCAATCTATGAGTCAGAACTCGCTCAGCCACGGAACTTCCTATGAGATAACGTTATCTTGCAATCCAACGTTCGCAGGAAAATTGCGCAAAAAGTCATTCAGGCAGCGCCGGCATCATTTCCGGAGTACATATGACAACTTCGCCGTATCAGAGTCACTTACGAAGGGCCTGGAGTTCACAAGGGTTAAGGGGACCCAGTACCCTTTCATTTTGGGTGGCTGGTAAGGCTGGCTCGGCCTTATGAGGTGCAATGACCCATCTCAGAGAATGCATGAATTGGAAGAGAAAAGAAGAGCCTCCTCTTCTTCCTGGATAGGCTTCCTGGATTTCATGCTCCCCCCCCCCTCGCATCATCCAAGACCTTAAAAACGGGGAGTTTGGGGGGAGTGGAGACACTTTCCGACATCGATGAAACGCTTCGGTCCAGCTCTTTTATCAGGGAGGGTACTGCGCCCTCTTTCGCGAAATCGGATACTGAACTATCCTGCAGACTGTTTATCTCGACTGAGATAAAACCGTGGGGAGACTGAGTCAGCTTTACATGTAGCAGCGTTCCTCGACGATAAGGTGCAGTGAATATGTACCCTTACGTTCACGTGAGGTATTCTTTTTTTAGTTCAGGGCAGGCTATTTTTGTTTGATTTGAGCTGTGAGTTCGGGTAGACCATAGAGCTGTCGGTATAGTCTACTTTCCATTAAGCTGAAAGTATAATATCCTTCTTCCAGTGCAGTTAATATGACATTATTAGGTTTCACAGAATTCCTATGAGACATTGTCAAGTTCTCCTTGACGATGGGAAAGTGGTCATTTAGTCTCTTCCCCAGACGCAAGATTCCTCAGCAGTCTCTCATTCAGGGCACGAATGACCCAGAAAAGTTATACCAGCGCGAGAAGGTGATGCGCCACTCCAAGAGGCCGTATACGACCAAATTCGAAAAGGAGGGATTCCGGATCATGGGAATCGCCGTCACCCCATTAAATGAGAAAACGCCTTCCCCAGAGGTGGAAGTCCTGGCTGGAGGAATCAATGAAGACCATGTTCACATCCTCCTTAGTCCACCCCCTGGGCAACCGCAGTTTTGGGGATGTAACGTGGACATTTATGGGGAAGGAAGGGGCAGCGTTCGCATCGTCACGGCCTCCTGACGTCGTCCTGCGTCTTGCCAAATAGAGCTTTGTTTTGAGGTTCACCTGACGACGTTTTGACCTCCGTCTGTCGTTTCCTCAATCCTCAATAACCATGGGTGAAATTAATTAGGCATGTATGTTCGTGTATTGGGAAAACCCTCGCTGTGTCGGGGATTCTGTGACTTTCTTTGAAGAAAATTTTAATTTTATTCCATGATATGGCTTTTCATATTTTCTATTCATTGTTATTAGAAAATGAGTCTGTATTCCAAGTATTTAAAAAAATATGCAACAAATTCAGGTAGGGTAAAGCATCACCGAGCGACATTTAAGAGTATGGGATCGTCGTGCGATGCGATGAAAAGAAAGCGTGGCGAGTCAGGAGACGAGACTTGGAGAATATTCTAGACGTGAACAACAAAAGTTCATCTTGTTAGCATTCAGCCTGTTTGATACTGAGCTTGCCCTTCCTTTTGAGCACGATTTATCGTAGGATGTGCACTTCCTCCGAAATTATATCGAATTACGGCTAATGAAGTGGTGCCAGACGAGGTATGTCATTTGCTATTCGCGCATCTTAGACCAACAATATTCGGATATGACCTTTAGATAACTCTAAACTTCAGTTTTGAACAAGGGAGAAGCAATTGCAGCTTCTGGAAACGAACACAGAGGGATGTCGCCCGATGATTTCATAGGAGATAGAATCGCGGTGCGATATGGAGTTTTCGCTTCATGAGCCTGTGCGTTATGGGTCGACCCCAACTTCGTCTATCCGTAACCAACTTGACGATCCACCTCATTTTTCTCTGCGAAAGACGTACAATCTGACGTGTCTTTCGTGGCCGTTAAAAATCTATGCTGTCCCAATCATAAACAAATTACTGCAGTTCCATTCATAAAGAGATCGCATCGTGCTTTTCGTCATCTTTCCATCACAGGGAATTTTTAGATTCAAGAATGACAATATCGAGAATTTCGAACTAAGGTGGATGATGCTGGATAGTGTGCGAAAGATGACAATCACAGAAGCACCAGTGTAATATGGGATTCCTCGAGCCACTCTTGATGCAATTCACACGAAACCAAAATCGGTTTCTTTCAATTCCAAAGAAATTGTGATCGATTGGAAACCGGGAGCTCGTGACGGCTGGTCGCACAAAAGA